CTCGGATTGCGAGTCGAGTGCCTTAACCACCTGGCCATGCCGGGCACCAAGTTGCTATGACATCATTGCGTAACCAAGAGACAGGCAGACAGATACACACTGTGTTTTATAGTTTTTCGATAACAATGAACAATGACTGTTATGGTGTGAACCAGGCTTTCTCTCTGTTTTTTAACATTTTTTAAAACTTATTTTAAAAAGGTCCTAAATTAGAACAGCAACGAGCTCATAAACAAGAAAAAAACATAGCAGCAACCGTTTTTAGCTCCCAGTATAAGGGTAAAAACGTTAATAAAGTAACAACAAATATCTATTAACTCTATAAAGTAACATAATTAATTATTACTCAAATTATTATTTCAGTCATTCTTAATCTATCAAGCATCTATATGCAAAGAAAAGCCAAAAGTTACGCTTTTTATGATTAAATGAAGATATAGCTTAAAAGAGCTTTGCGGACTTTATGGCATAACAAGGTTTCATTCGCCCGGCCCCTTTGCAGTTGCCCCTTTTCCCCCTGTCGGCTGGCCTGTGAACCATTTGATATTTCGTCTATTTTTTGTCCGATATTTAACACATTTGGTTCTAAAGAACCCATTGTGAACTATCAGTATGATGGTTTATCTGAGAAAATGGTTACATGAACTCAATTGTATGTACTTATTTTTATCCGTGCAAAATGGGTACATTTAAATGGCCCAATTTGTAAAAGAAAAAACGATATTTTAAGATCACTTTATAAATCTTTTAAGTCTCCGAGTTATATCGGATGTTATTTAGATATCAGGATATTTCCTTGATTAATTTCTTAGTTCTATTAGAATATATGTTTACACAGTTTGAGAACGAAAAGTTAATAACGTGCATACGAAGAGCGAAATGTAGATCAGTTTTAGAATACTTGGTATTACGGAGGCGACGCTTTCATATATTATATTTGAAACATTTTACGATTTATGGTAATAAATCTACAGTGGCTACTTTACCCAGTTCGAACTTGTGGTGTACTGAGTACGTCATTATTTATTCATTACAACCCAAAAGTACAATTTTTACAAAAGCAATATAAGTTTTATTAATGTACTTATTTCCCATTATCTATCTCTACGTCTGTCTTCCAGGTAAAAATTTACACAAATAACTAAATGTGGAAGTTAATACTAACTGGGAAATGGATAGTTTATTTCTATATCTTTAAAAAGTAATATTTATAAAGCCAAACATCGGATCTATCTAGATGTACAAACTGACTGTCAGCTAAGGTAAACTTTGTGTTGCTTATGGGATTTAAATCGCTTAAGACTCTAATCATTAATATCGTACACCTTTGTTTAAGAGTCACTTTAACATTATCTCTTGGCTAATTCCTGAGAAGGTCCAGTGTTTATTTGAAAAGCCACATCGAATGCCGTCTCGTGACATGATAATACCCCAGCACTACTTGATATCAAAAACTACTGATATTTGTATAAGCTTTAAGTTATGTTGTAATATTATGTTTGAAGGCTTGGGAATTCTAAGGCTTGTGCAGCTAGGTGTAGAGATAAAAAATTAAAAAAGTCATAATTACCTTTAACAACGTTAAAAAAAGAAACTGTGTGTAGGGATCCCAGCAAATATCTAAAATTATTATATAATGGACTAATGATGTAAGCTTTTCGTGATTTTCAAATTCTAAAAGTGTGTTTGAATTTAACCATGCCTAACGTGTGTGTGTGTGCCATTAATTCAATAAAAATCAATTGATGCTTATTGCCACTATCGTAAAGCCTCTTTAGATCTTTTATCAATATCACAGATATCACACATCTATAACTTATAACCACACATATTTCTAATCAATTTATAAGTATGATTAGTCCGTAGTTATATATTAATTCATAAATACACATACATAACAAAAGGATTACTAGCCTATAATTATAAATATTACCCACATATAACTAATATAGAAACTTTACCTATATAGATATTTAATTATAAATAAACTCCCAATCTTGAATAGTAACCTCAGTTTCTTCCAGTTAACTTAAAAATTTCTCTGTTCTACCCAGTCATAAGTGTTAGTACGTCTTCATTTACACTGATATGTATATGCATTTTATGTAAATTACTATTCATGTATTTATATCACACTTTTAATTTGTTACCAGTACAGCTCTTCCATAATCCAATTTATAAGTTCCAAAACGTCCAATTAAAGAAATGGTTTCTGCTATAGCTGTTGTGCCGTTGTTTACAATAGATCTTCCATCGCTAGAAACCGGTTTTCAATACCCGTGGTGGGCAGAGCACAGATATCCCATCGTGTAGCTTTGTACTTAAGTTCAAACAAGCAAACAAACAATTATAGATTTTCAATTCCTGTCTGAATCAATTACGAAAAAAGGACAAAGTTTTTAAACTTAGAATTCTGAATAAGTCTTTTAAAATGTTTGACCACTCGAATATCTCTGGCAAATATGTTATTACAATGTATAGTTGTGTTACTGAATTTGTAGGCCAAGCAGCGTGACGTCGATCCCAACCGAACAAATATCAGAATATCCCGAAATACGACTGGATGATCTTGATGTCATAGCTACATTAGGAATTGGTGGATTTGGAAGAGTTGAGCTGGTAAGTTTGAAAGAATGTGCTGAATTTATGTTTAACTGAACAATAAAAAAAAATGTTGGCTTATTTAAGTTTTTTTTAATTTAGATACAATTGTTTGTTTTAGTCTAACTTCGGTAGGCAGAGCACAGGTAGCCCATTGTGTAGCTTTGCGCTTAACAACAAACGAACTAACATTTGATAATCTGTAAAGAGTGTAGATTTGTTATTCCATCTTTATATCATCTCATCTTTACAAACAAAATCTGTAAATTTAAGCTTATTCTTATTTTTTTGTTGTGAACCATGTGACTAAATTGGTAAATTGGCAGCTGGCCATCGAATGACAAACTGTTCACTGGCTGTTAGTTGCCTTTTCGGACTGCTAGTAGTTGATCATTCGACAGGCCAACTTTTGTTCGACTTCTTTTGCGTGTGTATCTTTGATAAGAATATTTTAAAATATTCATAGTTTTATAGCACAGATTATTGATTAACCCTAGGGTTAAGAGCACAGCTCAAGAATGAACTTCGGTATCAACAAAATTACGAATCCGTATAATAACATTAGTCTTTGGTAATTTCCTCACACTGATTTCAGTAGCTCAAACACTCATACTTAAATGTATGTGCAAAGCATTTTGTTATGCGTTAGTTCTATATTGTCTGACAGGAAATTAACTCCACGGTGGGAAGCTTGTTTGTTTATTTATTTTAGAGCAAAGCCACATTGGGCAATATGCTGTGTCCACCGCGAGGCATTGAACACCAGATTTTAGCATTGTAAGTTCGTAAACTTACCGCTGTCCCAGTGGGGGACAGGTGAGGAGCAACTGTTTTCACGAATATCTCTTTAGTGTGTATGTGTGTGAACATTCTTTACGTTAGGTTAATTCGAAGGTTACTGTGTGTATGTGTGTGAACATTCTTTACGTTAGGTTAATTCGAAGGTACTGTGTGTATGTTTTTGTAAATAGTAGCCAAGATGTTTTGGAAGATTCATTTATTGATATATTAAATTGTCAGTGCCTTGAGAAATATTTGTACCAGCCATATCCCAAGTGTTTGTCACTATCAGTTGATTTAAACAGAGTATAACATTTTAAGCATCGTATGCTTTTTAATCTGATAACGATGTTAAGCTGCAGCGTTTTAATTATATTAAAATTATTTGTTTATTGAACCCTTAACCCTCATAATTACTGATGGATGAAGACTCCATCGGTTTTTCTAAATGCATATTTCTAAGCTGTTTGTGCAACAACTTTTTTGTGGGTCCATAACTCTGTTGATTACAAGGTTCCTGATAATATATGCATCACACAAAAGAAAATTAAGTAAAACAACTATCAATATTGCTCTTAATTGCATTAATTACTGCTGAAAATTCAATGTACCTTGCATAGAAAATGAATGATTCCGCAATTTTCTTTTTGTTTAGTTCTTAATGTGACTTTTGTAACAGGGAAAAAAACATAAAATGACTCCCTATGTTACAATATTTAGACACCACCAGTAGTGAACAGTGTCGGTAATTTGAGGATTGAGATCTTGCCGAAACTATTATATTGTACAGACAGCGATATCTGTTGACGACAATGAATAACGAAAAGACACGAACAGCTTACCTCTTTATCTTATTTGTGACATCCATTCACAATCATAGTTAGCATCATCACAACCTTCTTCATCTGGTAGGTACAATACACGCTGGACAAGAGTATGACCTTTGCTCTCAAGTGCCTAAAAAAGTCCCATATCGTCGAAACTCAGCAGCAGGAACACATTATCAGTGAAAAGTCAATCATGATGGGATGCCGGCATCCATTTATTTGCAGGTATTCAACAAACTGTTTGTCACAAATGAATTATCTTCAAATATTTTGTAACATCTTTTTTTTTATTTAATGTAAATCAAATAAAATATAATTATATCCAGGATGTTTGCCTTCGGGGTTGATTCATAGATGTATTAGCAGGTACCTTTTGAAATCAAGTATATTATACAAGTCACATGTATTACTACATGCTAATCGTGTTTCATAATGATTCCTTTATAAGGTTATACATGATTCAGAAATTTTTCTAGCACTTAATGAACATGTTATTAACTTTATCGGAGAAAAAAGATTTAGTGCAACTTTATAATTCTTAGTTTAAAGCAGAGAATGTGCAAGAGAAAACGATTGTGATACAACAAAATGCATATTTTAGTTAATATTAGTGTGAATGCATTTAGTTTCAAACAGATTTCAAGTATCGTTTTTATATGCACTCTCCTTTTACATAATTTTCCAGATTATACACAACATTTAAAGATAAAAAGTACGTATACATGATGATGGAAGCATGTTTAGGAGGCGAAGTCTGGACTATACTTCGAGACAGGTAATAACATATTACCTTTTTTACAAATTTTGTAGTTCATCACGCCTCAACTTTTCAAACATAACAAATAAAACTGTAAAATGAAAACCAGCAAACACATTAGATTTCACTTTTTCGTTACTTTTATCTGGTAGTTTAAAAACAACAACCAATAAACAATTTATTAAAAAAACGAAGGTACCGCCTATTGATTAATTTTTCTATGTTATTTAGCTAGGAGTTAAGAGTTATAAACAAGAATAAGTTGGAATTATAACAATTATAACAGCTTGTATTTAATCGAGCTGGACAAGAAACTGATATTATGATTCATGTTAAATTGTAATAAAAACACTTCTACTGAAGCTGATTGAAAGAGGAGAGTTACTCTGTATATAGCTTGTGGCATATAAATTCAAAGAAAGAGCTTAGCTTATGTTTGCTTATTCATCAGTTATTTACAACTTATAAAAACTATTATTGCTAATACTGCAACGGAGAATGTTTCAATTAAAGCGAGGCTTGTAAAGGAATCTATTGTCAATAAACCAAATGAAAAACAGGTTTTCTTCACAAAAAAACATTTAATGTTGAAGGATTGGAATCTCAGCTAGTCAGTTGATGTTAAGCTATAGGTTTCATTAATTAATGTCTTTCCGACAATTTTTTTTCTCTTCATAGCAACAACAACAACAAAATATATAGTCCGAACAAAAGAACCTATTTTGAGTCACATCTAACTGATGAACCCTTTGAATACCCCCCTCCAGTGGCGCAGCGGTATGTCTGCGGACTTACAACGCTAGAAACCGGGTTTCGATACCCGTGGAGGGCAGAGCACGGATAGCCCATTGTGTAGCTTTTTGCTTAATTTGAATAAATGTTGTGAGACAACTGTTTCCATTGTCTATCTTGCAGAAATCAGTAACTTGACTGTTACAACTGAACGGTAACCAACGAGTTTCAGAACGCTGCAAGTGTTTACATAATAGGCATGCTTTTACATATATAGCACATGGCATGTTCTTGTGGGTAAGGCGCTCACCTCGCCATCAGAAGGGCGCTAGTTCGAATCCATCGAATGTGCTTGCCCTATATTTCGGACAAATTTTTGGCTTACAAAATTACCAGCCGACACCTAATTCGATGGGACTAAGGTCGAAATGAAAGAAAATGTACGAGAAAGTTGTATAATTCTCGGCGACACAAGACTTAACAATGAATATGACTGTTATAATATTTCTGCATATTTCTTCTTTACCATTTCTAAGTCCTCCAAATCTCATTAGAGTTAGATCGTTCTATATGCACTTAGAAGAAAAAACTGAAATAAACGTGGTAAACCACTTAGAGCAATTCCAAAATACAAAGAAATCTAAACTCAAACTAAGTTTAAAACAAAATTATAACATTATCATATAATTATGGGAAAATCAAAGTCGTCTTCTATGCGAATTTTGTCAGTCTTAGTTCAAAAATCGTTCTCATTCAAATGCGTGACTGTGTGCGATAAGTATATGACCTAAATAAACCAACCCAGAAAATGAGGATGTGCAGAGATAGTCAGAAAGAAAAAAAAGGTTCATTTCTTCAATTTTTAAAACAAAGCTTTAAAATTTTTATACAACTGCTAAATTATTTCGAAAGAGCCAAGTCACACAGAATATCTAAAGGGCGAGGATGTTTGCCCCGGGACTCGTGCAGTCTTTCGACGCTCCAGATGGTTCATCACGACTAATAATTTTAAAACAAAAATGTCTCTTGCAAAATTTGAAGAATTAATTTATCTTTTCGAAACATCTGCTGCGCGAAAACAATACTACAAACTGATATATGAAGCATATTGTTGTATAACACGGCCAGTTAAGAACAATAGTTTCAAGTTGTTTCAGCTATCGGCAGTCTAACTTGGTCAATGATGAAGAATGTTATTCACATAAGATTTACGATGTTTCATGTATGTGATACAATATAAAGTAAGACCTTGTTTATACGTTTTGCACACTTTTTCGTAATGATGGAATGTTTGAGGCTATTTAGCTTTGTAGCTAAGTTTTGAAGTATCTACCTGCTGCTGTGGTATAGAGTGAAATATCAGCCTATACCACCGTTTTGAATAACATATCTGAAACCAAAATCCTCTTTTTTTTTTTTTACCAAGATGAAACATTTTAGCATAAGTGATAGGTGTTAAATAATAAGAGGTAAAACAAGTAAAGTGAATTATTGTTTAAATATCTAGATCGTTCAATCAACTAATTGGAGACTTACAAGAGCTACAAGACAAACAATACGATGATGTTGTCAGGCATCATAGGTAAGTCATAACTAAACATTATCCTTGTCAGTTGGTATTGTTCATTGCATTGGCGCCATATTCTCCTCGAAAGCAAAGGTCCACAAATTTTTATATTTTAAGTTAAAAATTCAATTTCAGTTTAGGTATATTATTTCTCTATCAGACGATACCCTTAAGGCTAGTAAAATTGTTTTGCGATTAACAAGTGAAAATAAAACATGTTAGGTGCTTTACTGGGATTGAAGTACGTAAAGTTTGCAATAATATTCAATATAGTAATATTTTGCATCACTTCTCAGTATAGGCCTAGCATGGCTAGGTGGTTAGGGCATTCAATTCGCAATCTGCGGGTCGCAAACCCGAATACTCATCACACCAAACATGGGCCCGACATGGTTTGGGAGCTCGACTCGCAATCTGCGGGTCGCGGGTTCGAATCCCCGTCACACCAAACATGCTCGCCCTTTCAGTCGTGGGGATGTTATAATGTGACGGTCAATCCTAGTATTCGTTAGTAAAAGAGTAGCCCAAGAGTTGGCGGTGGGTGGTGATGACTAGCTGCCTTCCCTCTAGTCTTACACTGCTAAATTATGGACGGCTAGTGCAGATAGCCCTCGTGAAGCTTTGCGCGAAATTCATAACAAACCAAACCACCAAACATGCTCGCCTTTCAGTCATGAGGTCGTTATAATTGAAGGTCAATTCCACTATTCGTTGGTAAAAGAGTAGCCCAAGAGTTGGCGGTGGCTGGTGATGACTAGTCTTTCACTGTTAAATTAGTGACGGCTAGCGCGAAATTCAAAACAAACCAAACCACTTCTCAACAGTACTTATGACAATGTACTACAGTAAAGTCTTCAATACCTTATTCTTCCTGCTGAACAGAATTAACTGCAATTAATGTAGTCATCCTTAGTATTATCACTTGTCTTTGCCACTTAGCTATATACTAATATTGATTGTAGTACACAAAAATGACAAGCGGGGCTCTGTAGAAAAGCTTATACCTAAAGATTACTTTAGATATACCAAATTGCTTGTACGTGGACCATTGGTTAGCGTGCCGGATTGTGTATCCGAGGTTCCGTGGTTCACACCCCGTTACTATCCCCCCCCCCCTGAAAAAAAAACTGTTCCGCATTTTGGGGCCATGGATGCATTATAAAAGTGACGCTCAAGTTGGATTAGAATTTTATTAGTGTTGGCGTTAGGTGCTGTTGATTAGCTGTCTTCCCTGTTGCCCGTCGCTTGAAAATTATAGACGGCTAGTACAGATAGCCCTCAGTCGCTTTGGCGGAATTCAACAACAAACAAATAGCTTGCACTCCAGGAGAAAATTGGACATTTCAAACGGCAATAGTACTAACGATATTATATTAGAATCTGGTTTAAAAAGAAACCTTAGATTGCAGGAAAACATTAGACATTACAAAGTTGCAACAGTAATAATATCCCATTAGAACATTTTCTAGAAGCACACCTTTATCATTATTTTACAACACCAAAAATGGTTATATGTTTATTTATCTATTTACTTTATCGTTACGAAAGCCTGTAGTAGACAATTCATCACAGTACATGTTGATGTTGTTGTTTTCTTAGCGTAAAGCTACACAATCGTCTATCTGCACTCTTTCCACCCTGGATTTAAGTATTATAAGTCCGTAAACTTACCGCTGACCAACACGGGTTGATATGGACAAGTATTTTATTTGTTCTGGTGTGTGGGCGAAGCATAATTATAACAAAATCCGACCACTACTATCTTTATTGTGTCCCAGCCGGCCTGATGAACTCTAGTATTGAGCGAAACGTGTCCTGAACAATGAATAAAATGTGGTTGAAATATTATTATACACCTTCCTTCTGGGAAAAACCGTCACGGACTGACTAAGAAAGGTTGTGGTAAAAAATACAATAAGCTAATACTACTGTATTAAGTATTTTATTTATTTATATTCATTTATCATTAAAACCTAAAGTAAGTAATTCATGATTTTTTAACGTTGATACTTTTAGGTATCTAGGCTTATTATTACTGTAGATACAGCTGGTTCCAAAGTTGCACTATTAATATCACATTAGAAAATTATTTATAACCACACCACTTTTTTAGATTACCAAGTATGCTTAGACTACAGAAGAACAACAGATATTGCAACAAACAAACTGCAACAATATCAATATTTGATTAGAACATTGTTCACAAGTACACCCTTTGTATTGTTGCACAGTGAGAAAGTTTGAGGTTAACAAAATATACAACTAGTTGATTCCATTCCTAAATATTTATAAAAAAAAAAAATCCTTTCGTCAACTCTCTATCATCAGTCAAGCTAAGATGGTTAGAAATGACATCCGAAACTTAAATACTGAATTTCTGATTTTTAAGTATAATACCCACAATTTATATACTCATAAAATATTATTCAGTGATATAAATAAGTTATAGTGTTTTCTCTTTTGCGAATGAAGATATGTTTAATTCATGTTAATCACCACCAGAATGTAATGCTTATTTGTTACATTCTATGAACAGAATTCTTATAATAAAAACTTTAAAAGCATTTTTGGTTTTGGTTTTAAAATTGCACCAAAACTAATAAAAATGAAGGTCGAAGGTACATTTTGAGGATTCTGGCCCACATGGCTCCTTCCTCTAATCCTGATCCAATAAACGAGGAAAGGTTTGGTATCTGAAATTAAAATTAATTAGCAACAGATACATACAGATTTCACAAATACGGCACTACTACAGTAGTATTACTCAAATTCATGCTAATTTATGGAATTTGTATAGAGATTTCATTGTGTACAGAAAAATCATATGTACTATACATATGTCGGTAGCAAATCAAAAACAAAACATCGAAGAAAGTAAACATTTTGTCATTAATCCCGTGTTTTGTTTATTTTCTGAATGGATTATGATCTAACTTGATTGTTACAGAGAAGAAAGAAGAACCGCCAACGTTGTAGCACTGGAGCCTGGTGTTGAGTGTTTAGCTTTAGACAGAGAGTAAGTGACTTTGGTAAAATTTACTTGAGTTATCGTACTACTTTGTGTTTATCGATATTAGTTGAGATCCTTTAACTTACTCTCATTGTTCTCTCCGGATTATTAAGATTAAGTTATGACTTGGCGTGCACTCATTTCTTTAATGTTTACAACGAATCACTTCAAAAGAAATTTGTGTACTATTTTTTTTTATCTTTAAAACATTTAGTCCTTAAGTATGCATAATAAAGCATACTGGAAATAATTATAAAAAAGTTGATTTTCTATGGAAGATGACTTCCTCAAATACAGATAATACGATTGATGAATTATATTTCACATAAAAAATTATTTAAAGTTCTTGCGAAAGTGATTATAAATGTTGAGATATTCTTAAATAGTTAAAATTGGTGATAAAAAATTAGAAGCTATACTTTTTCCTGTCGAATTTCAGGGCTTAATAAACTACTTAGTGGAAACTTGAATAATTCTATTATGTTTAGCTATAATGAATTTAAGCCTTTTATCTTATAATTAATTCATTCGTCGTACGTTAAGATTATCAAAATAAAATACAATCCTTTAGTAAGACCCCACACACGAAAATCATGGCTGAAAAATAAATGTCCTAAAGATCATTAAACAATTATATTAAGAGTTAATTTAATCAACTAAGCTTTAGTCAATAGCTTTTGTAAAACGGCCTACATGATATTAATGCTTGAGATTTAGTGTAGATTTAAATATTACACAGATAGCACCGTACATCCCTACACACACACACACCCCTCAGAACTTCATGTAATGTGTCAGGTCTGTCAATTTCCAATTATGCTGCTTCAATCATCACAAAGCTAAGTAAAATGTGGTTTAAATATTACACACCTTCCCTCTCTCAGGATTTCCACGTATTAATGATTTCGCTTCCCAGTGATGTGGTTCTAGTCGTCAAAAATCGAAGAAGGATATTCTTAAACACTACACAGACAAACCTACTTCCATTCTCTCTGTTGCCACCAGGTGGCTCAGCGGTAAGACTCGGGCTTGCAGCGCTAAAAATGAGGTTTCGATACCCGAGATGGGCCTCTTATGTGGTTTTGTGTTTAACGACACCCAAGCAAATGTATCTCTCTCCTTCAGAATTTCCACGGATTTACAGTGCTGAATTCTAGAGTTCGAGTCCCTGCGGTGGACAGAGCGCAAATAGATAGCCCATTATGAAGGTCTGCGCTAAAACAACAACGCTAAGCAAAATATTTGGTTTATCATTTCTAACATTAACGGTTCGTTTTTAGACTGTTTATTACTGATTAGGTACACATATTCCATAATTTGACGTTTTTCCTGTCACAACATTCAATATCAAGAACTGAGAAACAAAAAAAAAGGCGACATCACTCATTTTATACGTAAAATACACAAAAAAACACAACATTGATTACTGGGGTTAAATTACATCACTCATTTTATAAGTAATATACACAGAGAACTACAGCATTGATTACTGGGGTTAAATTACATCACTCATTTTATAAGTAATATACACAGAGAACCACAGCATTGATTATTGGGGTTAAATTACATCACTCATTTTATTCGTAAAATACACAGAGAACCACAACATGGATTATTGGGGTTAAATTACATTACTCATTTTATAAGTAATATACACTGAGAACCACAGCATTGATTACTGGAGTTAAATTACTCACTCATTTTATACGTAAAATACACAGAGAACCACAGCATTGATTACTGGGGGTAAATTACATCACTCATTTGATACGTAAAATACACAGAGAACCACAGCATTGATTACTGGAGTTAAATTACATCACTCATTTTATACGTAAAATTCACAGAGAACCACAGCATTGATTACTGGGGTTAAATTACCTCACTCATTTTATACGTAAAATTCACAGAGAACCACAGCATTGATTACTGGGCTATCTGCAGGTAGGCCTTGTGCAGATTTGTGAGAAAGTCTGAGACAAATAAAAAACTAAGAAGACACTCCGAATGACAAAATACACTATAAAAAATTTTCTGGAATGTGGCAACATTTTACTTAGCTTTGTGATGATTGAAGCAGCATAATTGGAAATGGACAGACCTGACACATTACATGAAGTTCTGAGGGGTGTGTGTGTGTTTAGGGATGT